ATAAAAGCCAGCGGTCATTGTGGAAGTTGGTCTGAAGTTGGTCTGAGGAATTATAGCCAGGGAATGGGAGCACCAATGTCATTTTCCTTCGCATTCAGGTTCTGTTTCTTTAATTCTCTTTTATTTCATATTTCTTCGCCTTCTTTCATTTATTCCCTTATTCCTTTTTTTCCTCTTCCTTTTATTTTTTTATTTTTCACTTTTTAATTCCTTTGTTTAGATTCCTTTCACTGTCTCTCACTTTTTTAATTTCTCTGTTTTCATTTCTTCCACTGTCTATTTCTGTCAGTTTCATTGTTTTCGTCCACTTTATCCATTTTTCTCTTCCTTCGTTCACTCCTCCGTTCACTTTCTCCCTCCTCCATATTCGTGTTATTCCACTTCTTTCCTTTTCAGCTATCTTCACTTTCCACTTCTATCACTTTTAGTTTCTTTCATCGCAAATTTCCATCGTCTGCTTCTTTCACCTTCCACTTTATTATTATTTTCCTTTATCTTCCACTTTCGTTATTATTATTTTCCTTTGCCCTTTACTTTCATTATTATCAATTTTTCTTTACCTTCTACTTTTATTATACCCAGTTTCCTTCACTCTCCACAATTACGGTTTCTTCTTCCTTTCCAATTCCCTTTTTCCTACTTTCCTTCATCATCTCCCTCTTCCATGTTTTCTGCTTTCCCATACCCTCCACTTCTACCCTTTCCATCTCCCTTCATCTTCCGCTTCCACCCTTTTTTCTACCTTCCATCACCCTTCCAACATCTCTACCTTCCTTCATCTACCACTTCTACCTTCCATCACTCTTCCCTCAACACACTTCCTTAAAAAAAATGAGAGAGAGAGAGAGAGAGAGAGAGAAGAGATGAAGAGAAGAGAGAGAGAGAGAGAGAGAGAGAGAGAGAGAGAGAGAAGAGAGAGAGAGAGAGAGAGAGACAGAGAAAGAGAAGAGAGAGAGAGAGAGAGAGAGAGAAGAGAGAGAGAGAGAGGAGAGAGAGAGAGAGAAGAGAGAGAGAGAGAGAGAGAGAGAGAGAGAGAGAGAGAGAGAGAGAGAGAGAGAGAGAGAAGAGAGAGGAGAGAGGACAAGACAGAGAAGAGAAAGAGAAAGACAGACAGAAGACAGAGAGAAGAGAAACAGAAGACAGAGACAGAGAGAGAGAGAGAGAAGAGAGAGGAGAGAAGAAGAGAGAGAGAGAGAGAACACCCTGGAAATCTTCCTGTTTTTCCACCTCTTCCTTCGCACCGTCTACTGCTCATGCGCATTCAAGGAGGGAGAAGATAAATAGGGTGTCAAGGAAATCGGCAAGAATATGGCAAGGGAAGAAGAGGAACAAGGAAAACAGATAACAAAGAACGGAAAAATATAAGAAGAAAGAGGGAAAAGGTCAAATAATCCAAGAAGATAAGAAAGAAGAAAAAACGTAACAAGGATAAATAAAGAAGAAAAATGATAAAAAGGAAGAACAAGAATGAAAAAAATAATCAACGAAAAGTAAATAACAACGAAAAAAAAGAGAAGGAAAAAAATACAAAGAAAGAACAAGAAAGAAGAGAAATTAGGACAAGGAATAAGAAAAAAAAATTACAAAGAAGAAAGAAGAAAAATAGGACAAGAAATAAGAAAGAAAGAAAAAAACAAAAACAAAAAACAAAAGAAGGTGCGCATGCGTGAGACTGCCTTCGGAGACATGCATGACACTCCAGGTTAATGTCTGTCATGCGCTAGAGCCTCAGTATTCATGACAAGAGGAAGAGGATGTAAAAATATCTTTGACACTGAAGGAATTTTTCGTTCGTCTATAACACTCGAACGTCTTTGTGTATGAAGATCTTGGAATAAAGTGTGGGAAACGGTTGAATAAAAGGGGAATATATATAAAGATATATAATAATAATAAATATAATAATAATAATAATAAAGATAATAAATAGATGATAATAACAATAACAATTCATAAAGATAAAGTATAATAATAATGATGTTAATAGTAATAAAAATAAGAGTGGCAATAATAACTAATAATGATAAAAACAATGATAATGATAATAATAATAATATTAATAACAAAATATAATTAACAATGTTAACAATAATAAACTAATAGTAGTAGTAATAATAATGATGATGTTAACGTAATAAAAACAATAGTGGCAATAATAACAAGTATTAATGATAAAAAATAATGATAATAATGTAATATTAATAATAAATAAGAATGAATAACAGAAACAGCTTTCGAAACACCACGCGAAGAACAACACACAAACCTCCCCTTTTATCGACTTCTTTCCTCCGTCAGTCTAAAAATTTTCAAAACGCCAGACAGAACCAGTAGCTCGTGGAAACCGACACCTATGAGCAGAGACAGACCGGGTCGAGGTTCTGGCCGGGCTGGTTTCGTCAGGTAAAAACACCTGCGTATCAATATTCTTTCCATGTGCAGGTAAGTGTCCACGAACCTCCCCTCCTACTCCCCCTTCTCCCCCTCTCCTCCCCTTCACCCGTGTGGTCCTAGCTCCTACTTCCTTTTATCCTGAATGTCACCTATTTTCTCCTTTCCCCTTTTACCTTCCTCTCTTTCCTTTTATTTTTTGCTTTTGTTTGACTAGGTTGTTTGGAATGATGTAACAAAGGTATTTCCCATGTTTGTTTTCCGTTTTGTTGGCTCGCATATTTCTGTCCGGGAGAAGTGCATTAGAATGCCCTTGTTGTCTATGCCCCACCTTTGGGCTACGTGCTGTAAATTCTTCTTTATTTCACTCTACTGATGACTTGGAAGGTGTACTTTGAATCCGATATATCACTAATAGAGATGACCTAATAAAGCGAATATAGAGACAATAAAAAAACAAAATCGAATAATGTAAATATTCTGCAAGGAAAAAATATCGACAAAGGAATGTGACTAGTTTCAACTCCCGGGGAATTATCGTACACCGCCAACCTCCCGCCATCGTGCAGAAAGTCCGAACGATTCAATTCAAATCGTCTCTCGTTACCACATCACCTGACATCATTACACACTGTTCCTGAAGCTTAAATCTCATCAAATAACTCCCCTTGAGTATATTCTCTACCTCCTTTCCTTCACAAATGGCGCAAATACGAGATCGGGTCTTGTAGCGTGTTCGAAAACGTGGATTCACAACGTGTCTGCCATCACGTTGTTACACTGTGTTCTTGGGGTGAATACTGACTGAGTACTCGACACGGATTACCTCTGTCTCTTTTTTTCATATTTCTCTCAGGTCATTTCTTAAGAAAGGTCGATTCACCTGAGATATAAATGGATAAAGTTTATATTCCGGTTATATCTATGTCGGACTTGACTGAAATAAGCAAAGGGAATTGAATGCAAAAAGAGGAAGGAAAAGAAGGAAAAATGTACTAAAAAACGTCCATTACTTTGCAATTCATTTCTTAATCCGTGCAAAGAATTTTTACGACAGCATTATCATAAAAATAAGGTTTCTCGCTTAAAATACTGAGAAATATAATCCGGTTTCCGCCAGCTGATATGCTTGGTCCTTGCGGTAACCTCATATCACACTTTCTTGCCCCGAACAGATCACTGGAAGTCGATATATTCTTCAGGATAAGCTAAGCAATTCTTATCATTATTGTCCTCACCTGTTTTGGTATTTCATTATCTTAATGAGGACTCATTACGTGTTTCATCACTATCATTATCTAAATATGTTGCATATTTCATTTTGACATCATATCGTTTCTGAACACTTCCTCTTTTTTTACACCTTTTCCAAACCTCATTATTATCCTCATTTTACTTTTCTTTATCAATTCCACGTCTCGTGTCCACAATCCATCCTTTTTATTTGCACCTTCTCTTCACTAATTTTCCTCATTAACTTTCCTCAATTTCCAGTTTTGTCTCGATTCTTCTTCGTCTCTCTCTGGCCTCATACGTCACACACAATGTATACGAAGGTCATTTTCGTGAAGGAAACTTGGAGTGCGCAGTGTGACTTTTTATATATCACAGTCTGAGGGAAAAAAGAGAGAGAAATAACATTAATTGCTTTAACTGTTCACTCAATCTGTTTAGCTTAACTGTAATCATGGGTTTGATAGTTGTTTGCGTTCATGAAAGGTTGTTAAATATATGAGAGAGAAAGAGCAATAATTGTTTATACTGTTTTAAAAGCTTGGTTGTTTTATTAAAGCAGTTGTAGGATTGTTTGTATGGAGAGTTGTTGTTAAATATAGTATATATATATATATATATATATATATATATATATATATACTTATTAAATATAGTATTTATATTTATTATTATTTTTTTAACTTATTGCTTAACTCAGTGAAGGTTATCTGCATTTGACAGATGTTCAGTAAATGAATATTCTACATTTTCTTCTTATTATATAAGTTTGTGTCCAGCGTATAATCATAAAAGGGATCTGTTGATTAATAATTTAACCTAGATTTAAGATTCCGTTGAAGAAAATCTTTGTTTTACGTCGTTTTATCTTGTATTTTTTCTCCACTAAATTGCTGTTGCATGTTATTGTTGTGATTGTTTAGCTGTGTTGTTTCTAGGTGTGTGGGAATGTTTTCTTTTTTGTCTGGTTTGTTTGCTTTCTTCCTCGTGTTTGTTTGTTTGTCTAGGGTTTTTTGTGGTCTATTGTGTCTGTATGTGTGAGGATGTTCGCTTGTGGGTTTTCGTACGTATATGCGTTTGTTTACATATACGTAACTGTATAAACAGATATGTAAATGAGTATCCTTTATGTTCTCATAAAACCAAAATACCGACAGCGATCACTTACTCAAGGCACGTCAGGAGGCCCCGCAGGAGAGCGGCGTCCACTACGCTTGCTCCGCCGGCTTCTCTTCCTCGAGGGGCTTGTGTGAGAACTGGGACTGCAGCGTCCTCGCCGTCAGCACCTTCACCAGCCCCGAGGAGTCTGCGAGCGACGTCGAGCTGGCGTTCCTCTCTGGGGGGGCTGGTGACGTCGGGCTCGAGGTGCTCTGCGG